CTTCAATATTTGTAACAAAGGTCCTCAGTTGTGTGCAAGTTCTGTTTTTGATGTGGACCAGACTTATGCTCCCATGTCTCTAATGACTTTCTGGCTGTTTTCCTGGTTTTTACTCCCTGGAAAGGAAGATGCAATTCATTGTTCTGGTCTCACAATACCTGATGTGAGACTGCAGTACTGTTTTCTTCCATTTTTTCTTCCCCTTTTTTCTGTCTTTATGTGGCTGGGTTTTATTCTGCTTCAGTTTGCGTGTTTGGTTTTGTGTGTGTGTATGAGCCCATCCCACGATTTTCCTTAATTGCTTTTTGCTCTGACTGAGCCAGATCCTGGCTTGTGTGTGTGAGGTTTGTGCAACCATTTTTATCTAGTTTCTGCCTTTTTCAATGGCTTCTGAATCAACTTCCCTCCCTTGAATCAATTTGAGGTAGTGTGGCATGGTGTTGCTTAGCAATGCCGGGAAGCTGATACTGCCTGGGTGATGTGTGAGCTGTAACCACACAGCAAAAGAGACTACCTGTCTTCTGTGGTCCGTGCAGAGAAGAAATCATGCCTTTTCCTAATGCTTTCAGCATTCCCACCTTCACGTTTGGTGTTTTTTTCCTTTAATGTTGCTGAGTAACAGTTTTACAGACTTACAGATGTTCCTCCCGCCCCTTCTTCCTGATACGTGCAAGTGTAAACAAACTTTGTAGCCTGTAGAATCAAAATATAATTGGCATGTCAGTCTCTAAAGAGCTGGGTATCTAATTAACTGTCTTGAGATAGGTATGTTTTCTGTCTTCCTCCCCCACATACCAAGCAAAGCTGTCGTGAAGGCAAAGCTGAGCTTTGTAGGATGTTTCAGTCCTCCAAAGCAGCACAGACTGGCAGCCAATCTACTGTGCATGGCAGAGGATTAAAAACCAGGATGAATTTGATGCCTCCAAGCGTGTGAGGATATAGAATGAGTTATTTCAGCAGCAAATGTAAAGGTGTTAATGTTAAGTTACTAGCTCTGAAATATTTCTTTAAAATTGTTGATGCTTACATTGAAACCTCTGAATTTTCAGTTGTAGGTAGATTTTAGTTTCATTTAAATGAAAAAGAGTTAAAGTAGTTTTTCCCTCAGTTTCTTTTTTTGTTCCCCCCAAGTCAAGGGATTATACATAAAATCAAATAAACAATAATCTGGTTCCCTTCTCTCTCTTATCTTATTTTTAATAAGGAGTACTAGAAAAAATTAGGTGAATATAATATATTTAAGCCATAGGGTAGGATAAATGTGAAGGAGGTATTTTCCCCTTTTAAACCAATCGGAATACAAACCCAGATTTTTACTTGCAGTCCTAGGAAGGAGTTGTGGACCCTGACATCTTTTCTTTCTTTGATGGTAATTACATGAATGTAGCTGTATAGCACGTATCAAACCTTGATCAGACATTTATGGGTTTGTTTCTTTAATGCAATAATGTTTGTGCTTCAGTAAGCACAAGCCCACCATTCTTTTTCAGATTCTCCCTTGGTGTGGGAAGGCTCACAAACTCCTTGCAAACTTTGTGTGCGCTTAGACAAAGCAACTGGGTAAGTGATCACAGCCTTTAGGTGCCTGGTACCTGTTCCTTTGAGCCTGGACCCCAGAGTCAGCCTGTCTTAGAGAGCAACCTGGCAAACAGCTCTGCTGACGGGGGGGAAAGGGGGCCCAGACTGAAGAATGATTCTGGGCACTGGGGGTGCAACTGTTGATGTCAGAATACACCCAGAAGCAGATGGTGGTGGTGGTAAGATGCAGTCTGGAGACCGATCCCACTTCAATGCTGTTTATTAGCAACGGCTAATAATTCATTTGTAAGGGGGCCTGCAAGAAAGCTGGAGAGGGATTCTTTCTGTAAGAACAAGTAGTGATAGGACAAGGGGAATGACTTTAAGCAGGAACGGTAGATTTAGGTTAGACATTAAGGAAGAAATTCCTCACTGTGAGGGTGGTGAGGCCCTGGCACAGGTTGCCCAGAGAAGCTGTGGCTGCCCCATCCCTGGCAGTGTTCAGGTGCAGGTGGGACGGGGCTTGGAGCAACCTGGTCTAGTGGAAGGTGTCCCTGCCCGTAGCAGGGGGGTTGGAACTAGGTGATCTTTAAGGTCCTTTACAACCCAAACCATTCTGTGATTTTATGATTAGGGCTATATATGGTTTCTTACTGGGTATGAGGTTGTTGAAAGGTGGGTCTCTGATCAGCTGCTCCTGCCTCTCTCAACCAGTAGTTTTCATAACTGACAAATGCATTTCCAGTAGCCTGCTAGTTGATTCGTTTCTGGTTTAGACCATTTAATCCACAGTACGTGCTCATTTATCCTTGTCTATAAGGAAACAAAACATCGAGCTGGTGAGGGGATTTATAGCAGGTTCATTGCCATGGTTTCAGACAGCCTTACGTAGCCTAAAAATAGATACAGGAAAGAATATTCTCTTCCCTTCTCTCCCTCCCCCAGCTCTCTAACTAATTGGAATTTCCTTTTCTGTTTGTATGGTTTTGTTGTTGTGGATTTACTGACTGACAGGTCAAGCAAATTTGTTTGATGTTTTGTTTGAAAGAGGAAAGTTCATCGTAGTATCTAATGCATTGGGGAGTGACTTCCCTGGTTGTGTGCCAGTGCTATTACCTCCTGCTCCTGTCTCTTCAACCTGAGTAGTGCTGTTCTGCTCGACTGTAGCTTATTACAAACTGGTGCAATAGTCCAAGCTGGGAACATCCTGGGGATGCCTTTCAAAATAAAAACCTTGACAATGCCTTACGCTTTGCAGGGGAAATGTACAGAGTACATGATGATGTGCCTTTAGTAGCCTGTGCTGCCGCCTGGACAGGCTTTTCTTCCAGAGTCAGACTGACTGCTTTACTGTGTGTCCTGCAACCCCACAACTGGGATGTTGCAAACAGGTTAAGGATTGTGGTTTTAACTAGCAGGATGAGTTTTAAACTACTGCTTTGCGTATGACAGCACCTGGGCTGCAACAGCAAGGAGCTAAGGGGGAGGCCATGGCTGACTGCTACTTCCTCTTCTCAGTATCCTCACTTGAGACGGCATGGCAGCTACACACACAGCCTTGGCTGGCTGGCTTAAAGCTTGCTTGGACATGGCTTCCCAACCTCCCATTTGCAGTGTTGTTTGCCTGTGTATGTCAGAAAAATGGAGGTGGAACGCTGCTTGACAGTTCATATCGTCTCTTCTGATGTGTACCTGCTAAACTATGTTTAGCTTTGGGTTGGGTAGTTGAATTTCCCCCCCTCCTTGCCTTCCACAGAGGTGTTGACTGTTTCTGTTAGCAGGAGTTCCGGATGCTTTTAAATCTCTCTCCCCAGACAGGAAGGGCATGGATTGGAATCACACCAATGCCTTGGATTTCCTGCATTGCTTCCTGTTGAGTTGATGGGCCAAAAGCTAAAAAAGGGGGGAGATACTGTGTTACAGGGCCTGTATTCAGCATTCAACTCCTGAGGCTCACCCTGTGCCTATTTATGTTGGAAAGCAAGTAAATAGCCCTACAAGCTGACTTATCACCCTGTATCTTTTAGCGACAGGTTCTAGAGCAAAGGGAAAGCATTCTGGGTTGAATTGGAATGGGGGAGGGGGGCAAATCCATGTGGTCTCCTAGCAGCTTGTATGGCAAACGAGGTCCATTTTTCATGACCAAGGCTCTGCCCCAGAGAAGCTGTGGTAAGGTTCTTGATTTGTATGTGCTGCTCTTGGTACCTGGCCTTTTCTTTCTTCCTGCTGCTGCTTTTGTGGACAGGTTGCCCTAATCTTACTGTATGGGGAGTAAATGGAGAGGGGCTGATGTGATGTCAGGGTGCAGGTATGTTGGTGAATGGCTGCAGAGTATTGCTATTTCCTTCACTTTTTTGGCTTGTTTGCTGGTTGTAAATACTTTCTAATTTTCCCATATTTCTGCACTGATCAGCGTTATGGCTTCTTTTCCCATATGCCATATGGATGAAATTTGCATATTTAGGAAGAAGGTGGTATAGGATGGATAGATAGGACTGTGGATAGGACAGCTTAAGGCAGGACTGTTATTCAGGAGAGATTAAACCTTATCCAGGAGCGTTTGTATATGTAGGGGTAGAAGTGTCAGATACAGCTTGGTAGTTGAATTTTTGACTTATGAAGTCTTTTCTGTTGCTTGAGTGCTGCATTGCATTCAGTTGCTGCAACATGTGCCTACGCTTTCCTGCTCCTCCTTGTGTGTGATATTCTGTAGTATTTATATGCCTGGTTTTGAGCAGGAGAAGAGCAGCCCCTGAGTACAAGTGAGGGAAATGTGCCTTTTCAGCCTTCCTCAGAGGCTGGGACCTGCCATGGCCTCTTCATCCACTAGTATAAGGCAGAGTATTCAAGCCAGGGGCATGGGTGGGTTGGCCTGGCTGTTTTGTTGTGGTTCTGAAGAACCATTCTCTTCCTTTTGGAGCAGAGGCGAGTTTGCCATCCTTTTCAAGGACAGACGCTGGAATTTCCACAAAATGCAGGGCTTCCTGGCTGTAAAGAGTAGCAGCGCAGTGTTCTCACAGTTGGTGATTTTTCAATTTCCCAATCCAAACGGAAGCTGAAGGAGTTCCTAGGGGTCCCCAGGGATGACAGGATGACTGCCATCTGCGTTCTGTTGTGTTCTCCCTCAGGAGAAGTATAGTCTGCTTCATGCAGGCCAGCCCAGATTGCAGAGCCTGGCCATGTTAGTGACCCTTTGATAATATAATCCTGTCTGATGCTAAAGGGGATCAGCATTTTTCTTTTAATTTTCATTTTTTTTCCTTCCGTACCTGGCAGATGTTTCTTTAGGTGGACTTTCTTTCTGGTGTAATGATTTAAACCCCTGGAAATATTCTATGCATGAATTTGCATAACATTATGCAGGTTGATTTTTACATCAACACACAGTAGTTGACCATCTCATCTATCCAATGCTTGTGTTTCAAGATGCTGTCATTTTACATCCATTCTTGTTCCCTCCAACCCTTCCAGCCACTTAGTTGCTCTGTGCACCAGCATGCCCCACATGGGAATGCTCTTGAAATATGCCCAGAACTTTGAATGAGTGCTCACCTCCTCCATCAACAGATGCAGAGACTGGGGGATGGGGGTGTGTGTGTATCTGGGGGTGGTGGATGGATAGAAGCAAAGATAGGGGGTTGTATATTTGGAGGAGCTCTTGGGTTCCTCTGCGCATCTACAGGAGTAGAGAAGTTGGAGGCGAGGTGGAAGCAATGCCAAAAGCATCAAATGAGATGCTGTTTGTTCTGTCTGGATAACGAGGTGTTATTTGAAGGCAGATGCTTCACTTGCAGACCTTGTAGGAATTGAAGTATTCATATTCAGGAGTTATGAAAATTAAGGATACTGTTTTCTGGACTCTCAAGGTAGTGCCAGTCATGTCATTTGCTTTCTTTAAAGTTCACTGAAGAAGTCAATGCGTCTTAATTCTTCAAATATCATTACAGATTAGATGCTATTTAAAGAACATGATCAATGTCACAGCAGAAAGCCCATAGTGAAAAGGTGTAATTCTCCCTCTTTGTGACTTAGGACACTATCTTTAATTATTTAGATGCATTTTTCCGGTATCTTAATCTCCATATTGCTTGTTTGGTGTGATAATTGTCCTCCTACAGCAACACACTGTTGTGTATTATACTCTCTGCGAGAAAGGTGTTATTCCTTGCCTTTTGCAAATGTTGAAAGAGGAGGGTGGCTGAAGAGAGCTGATGGCCTCCTGCTCCCAAGGAACTGAATTCAATTCTTGACGGGAGTTCTCTTTATTGTTAGAAAGTGACTTAAACACCCAGAAAATGGTTAAATTCTTGATAAACGTGAGATCCATGAGCCAATATTCAGAAAGCCTCATGCTCCTGGGTGCAGCCTCTAGTAAAAGGATCTGTAATCATGTGTAAGGAAAGCTGCTGGATGTGAAATACTTGAAGAATAATTTAGCCCTCGGAGTCTCATTCTGGGAATACAGATTCAGTGGGTTTGCTTTGGACTTCAGTCTGTATGACCTAGATCAATAAAGGTATTTAGACTTCAAATTCCCAGCGGAGTCAGTATCTACGTGTCTTGAAGACCTGGGGTTTCTGTCTGTAATTCCATGTATAGGAAGTCAGGATAATGTGATGCCTCCTCCTCTCACAAGGGTGTTGTGAAGTCAGACTAAGTACTTTTTGAGAGAATGTATAAGCCTGCTATACAGAAAGGTAGTTGTTAATTCTGTCTTAACAACAGAGTACAAGTAGTTAATAAGCCTTAAGGATAGAACAGAGTAGAAAATATAAATCTTGAGTGCATTCTCTGTAACTCACTGTGCTCCTTCTGTGCAGTGCAAGACCAAGAGTGGTCTTTGGTAGGGCCAAGGAGGGAAATGGGTGAAGGTTATGATGTGCAGGAAATGGTAACTTGTGGTTTGATGGCATGCTTGAACAGAAACAATTTCTGATTCTTAACTCTTCCTATAAGGTGTGCAGTTTTCCCTTTTATTTAAAGAAGAAAATGAGAATCCACTCTCTTTGAGAGTGAAAGCTGCCAAAGCCACTGTAAATTTTACGTCCCTCGCTGGAGATTTCTGGTACTGGGGTGAGAGATGTGAACGGCAGCAAACCATCGTGCTTCTCTGTGTGGTTCTGCACGGTGAGAGTGGGAGAAGCCCCTGAGTTGTTGCATACAGGTAGGACATGACTGTTGACTTTAGGTCCTACCTCTGGAAGAAAGTGGACTTAGTCCTCTGTCAGAGAGCGCTTTTTTCTTCTGTCTCATTTGTCTTGCTCTTCCTGACAATCCTTCTGCACTTTCTGGAGCCTGTCTCCAGTTCTTGGCTTATTATTCTCCTACCTTTCACTTGCGGCTTTTCCTCCCTTCCAGACCTCTTGTCAGAGACTAGACCCCTTGCCTGTCCCAGCCCCCCATTAGCATCCCTGTCCCATTTCTCTCTCGCATGCAGTTGCCTTTTTGCCTTTTCCTGCCTTGTTTTGTGCACTGCCTCAGGATCCCTGGCTCACTTCCCTGCCCAATTCACTCTCTCCCCCTCCTGTTTCGGGCACTTGTTCCAGTCAGCTCCTTTGCCTCCCTCGAGTC